TATATAAATGAAAAGTGTCGTGTCACACTGTGATTGACGGTTTGACAGCCTGTTAGAGACTTTCAGATTGATGGTACAGACCAAATTTATTCATGGCAATAGATTCAGTTTTTTCTTGGACTGGTCGTCAGATTATTAATCCAGCAAGAATTAAACTGAGGTAATTCAAAAAGCCATCTACAGTAGGTGAAATACTTGTTTTTCGTTACCTTTCTGCCAACACCCACTTCAAAAAACCTTAAATTCATGTTGCAATCAGTTCAAATTCTCATTAGTGCTGCAAGGTGCTAAATTGTCATTTTAACTATTAAATGTTGCAAAAAATAATTTAATTTAGCAGAAAACAAAGATCGAGGACGTTCAATATTAAGTGTAATAATAACTGATCAAAAAATAACAAGAGCAGCCTCCTTCCTTCATCTTCCAGACTTTTATGAATCCTGTCTTTGGTCATAAAGATTTATATATTTTGTTTCTCCTAGGAGCAAGAATCTGGCCAAACACGACTTTAGTCAAATCGTTTTAATATCAAACCTTGATCGTTACAGGAATCTCACCTCAGGGTTTGGTCAAACGAGGCGCTGAGGATCTGGCTGTCGTCCTTGGAGAAACTCAGACAGGTCACGCCTTTGTTGTGAGCGTGCTCAAACCTGCGCACGCACAAGCCGCTTTGGACCTTCCACACCTTCGCCGTGGACACAAACACACGTTTCTGTCACGTTCAGTCCTTTATACTAAACGTTTCTGGAATGAGGCGGCGTTTGCTGCTCAGACAGCCTCACCTTCATTTTGCCGTTCTGAGCTCCCGATGCCAGCAGATCCGAGTCGTGACTGAAGGCCAGAGCGAGCACGGCGTCATCCATCATCATGAAGCCGTCCTGGGCCTGGTACTTCACATCCTGCAGGAAATCAAACACGCGCACACAGTGATAGAATCAGTGGCAGGAACTGAAGGCCCAGCATGCACTGCAGGGATGCACATCACGACTGAGCATTAAGATCATGGTGAGGAGAGTTCAAGCTGCTCTGGTCAAACCTGTGAAACGTGACGTCACGAACGAAGCCGTTTGAAACTAATCCAGGTCTGACCAGGCCTCAGCTGGTCAGCTGTGGCATCCATTTTGAATTGAGTTGACTGCAAAAGTTCTTCAGTAGAGCCACTGATCACTTAAATCTGCTCAGGGGTATGTCCGATATTTTACAGACAGCGTCGTTGACTGTAAGAGTTAATGTTAAAGTTTTAAGCAAATATTTCACACAGTGTGCAGAGCTCAGACTGTGTGCTGTGAGTTACTCTCAGCTACTACCACGCCAAATTTTAGCTCAACAGATGCAAAATTGTTAGAGTTATAGCTGTTTTTATGTTCGGTAAATCTGGTTGGATGTGGCGGCCATCTTAAATAAGGTTGACTTAATGAAGTGCTCAGCAGCAGATGTTCATCCCATGATTACTTTCAGGGAGTTTTGTTAAAAAATGTTCATGGGTTAATGAGATATTTTGCTAACAGACACGATTGACTTCATTAGTTAAAGGCCAATTTGTAATGGCAATTGTGTGGATAATACGTATAGGAACAGATATTTTTTTTATGGTTTTTATGTTTTTTTTTATCTACTCTTCTTTAAAAAATAAAATAAGAACAAACAAGCATATAACTTCATCCAAACGAATAAAAACCCCTAAAACAATCACAACATAAAAATAAACAAATAAAAAGTATCTCACTGAGGATTCTGTTTGTGGTGTCATGATACCTTGCTGATCTTCCCGGTGTTGAAGTTCCAGACCTCTATAAAGCCGTCCACGGACCCGGTGATTAAATACTTTCCGTCAGGCGAGAAACGAGCACATTCCACATGCGACCTCCGTCCAAACTGCACAAACAAATCAGACGAACAGGAACCTCAGCGTGTGTCGACACACAGAATCGTGCTGGAGCGCCGTCTGAGACGCATCTGAGCGGAGAACTAAACCACCGTCTGACGACCTCGCAGGGGTAAATGTCTGCTGCGTGGGCCGAGCGTCCTCACCGGCCACATTAGGCTCAGAAAGCAGGGACGTCCATCTGACAGATGTTTGTATGGAGACGGATTCGTCTCTAAAGTCACATGAGAGCATGACGACATTTGAGACTAATTCATCTCCATAGATTGGAGCACAAACAGCTGCAAAATGTGTCTTCAGGTGATTACAGTGGTGGAGAAAGTACTCAAACACTGTACTTATTTAAAAGTACAAATAAACAGACAAAAATGTACTCTAGTAAAAGTAGAAGTACCACATTAATGTTTTTACTTAAGTAACTGTGTACTTGCTTTTAAAAATACTTAAAGTATTAAAAGTACTTGCTGAATGTATTACCTAATGCAATGGTCTACAGTATCATTGTGTGTCTACCGTATGTATATTTTGTGTAATACATTAATAGTGTTGAGTCATTTTAATGAACAATGCTGCAGATAATACATGTTTTATTGTGACACAGTTCACACTTGGACTTGGAAATAAGAAAGAGGAATGATTATACATTTTAAAGTTTTTATTTAATAAAAAACCAATGTGTCATTTTAACTGCAGTAAATAATTTAAGTAAAAGTTGTCTGACTGAAAAAAGGAGCATTAGACCTAACAAAGGAATAAACATTGATCATTTCACCTCCAGTTTGTCATCAACTCTAGTTTAAAAAAAAAAGTCTAGTCAACCTTGTAATGGGTCAATAGTGAACAATATTTTAACTTCCTGACACCATTTTTAAAACTTGGACCTGAGTGTCGAGACATTTGGAGACGTCTCTTGTCTCCTAACATCATGAACTGACACATTTTAATATTGCAGCAAGAATTTCTTGTTCAAGTTCAGAAGAAGTTGGTTTTCAAAGTTTTTTAGTCCAGTCTGGCTCTTTTGTGAGATAAAAATTGTCCTGCTGTACTGAACAGTCTTTCAATAATATTTCAACAAGGCCATGGGTGGAGCGTATCTTCTGGCTGACTCTTGCAGTGGAATCCATTTTGAGTGTGTTAGCGGAGCTGCAGGTGCACCCAGCTCAGTGACATTTGTACTAGAATATATGTCATTGGTCCAGCTCTTCTTGAAGGTGGGCCTAATGTTACCTGCCCACTTTGCAGTGATTCAATGGACCAGTTCCCCTCTCACCATTGGTTACTTTCAAACTAACGAACAAATCAAGAAAAGCAATGTGAATGTAACTTGTAACACAACGCATTATAGAAATGTAGTGTAGGAGAAAGTACAGATACTTAATGTAAAATTTAGTGGAGTAAAAGTATAAAGTACCCACATTTAACTCTACTTAAGTAAACTATAGATACATGAAAAATGTACTTAAGTACAGTAATGAAGTACTTGTACTTGGTTACATCCCACCACTGCAGGTGAACAACAAGGTTTTGGTGCTCGTGTTACCACAAAGTCAGCTCAGATGGACCAGAGAATGTTGCCGCCCCGCAGCGCACGCTCCACTGGTTGTGTACCTTTATGTGGCGGTACAGCTGTGTGGGAAACGTCTCTTTCTCCAGATGTTGCTCCTTGCTGCCAGGTGAGTCGACGGTCGTGTTGGCGGAGAGATGACCTGGGTACTGCTCTCGTCTCACGTTCTGCCAATTTTAAGAACAGTAAAAAAAAAAAAATTTAATTAAAACGCACCTTTTATTTCTAATTTAGTTTTGTTGTCTATCAATGCATTTAAAATCAGATTCAGGTGGAAAAGTTATCTGCAGCTAGAACAAAACAAAATGGCAAATTCTTTCAACTCTACTCTTTTTTTTTTTTTTTTTTGCTTTGTTGCATGGTTTTGTTAGCAAAATTTTAACTGTGTTTATTTTTTGTTACAATATTTTGAGATTTTATCTTTTATTATCTTTCACAAAAATTATCTTCCAAAGCATAAATATTCTCAAAACATTTTCAGTGGTTATGACGTGAAAAGACTGTCATTTCAATGTTCGCTTTTTTTTTTTTAGAATTGTTTAATTTTAATTTGATTTTTTTTTTCTTTTACTGTTTTGACATTTTTGTTGGTGATTTTAGAGCACTTTTGTTTACCTCAGTTGTTTGAAATGTGTTTTATGAATAAAGTTCATTTAATTACAGCACCTTGAAAACATCCCCTAAACCTTTACACATGACCTAAGCCTGCTTTAAATCTTATCTGTCCAGTGTGCTCCTTGGTCTTCATGATGCTATTTGAGGCCTTCACACAGCAGCTACATTTATACTGAGATTAAATTACACAAAGATGGATTTGATTGGACTTGGGCAACATCTGAAGGCGATCCTTTGCACTGGATTTTAAATAAGGGTATCAAAATAAAGCTGAATGTCAAAAAAATAATAATAATAATATTTAAAAAAAGCTCAGTGCTAAAAGTAAAATTAGACAATATCCAGTAGTTTAAAACCTGTTTTCATTTTCTTTTGTGTCACAGAGATTAGGTGCATTTATTTCATAATCTGAAACTTAAACCGTTTGACTCATCACATGTTTTAATGTACTGGACAGAGAATAAGGACAATATTTGTATTTCTTAAATATCTTATATTGAATATGAGCTAAACTGCAAGTAGAAAATAAAAGTGAGCATGTAAACAGACAACACCAGTTGGCATCAAATGTAGCATTCCTTCCTTTTTTATTGAGCATAAATATTAGAAAATAATCAAAATGTAGTTGTGGAGACATTTCAATGTGGCTCCATATCTGAAGTGACCCTGCAGCCGTGAAAACATCAAAGTTTAACACTTTGACTTTTTCTTTCTTTTTTCCAACGACCAAATAATCAGTAGATTCTTAACAATTTATATGACATATGATTGACTAGTTTGTTAGTGGCACCAGCACAGGGAGGTTTGTCTTACCTGAAAGGAGCACAGCTGCCGAAACGATAGCTGTTTGGTGGTGGAAACATTTGTTGCCATGTAAACAGGGGCTCCACCAAGGGGGGGCCGGGGGTGGGAAGGGCCACCCCATAAAGCTTAAATCAGTAACTGCAATTCCCGTCGTGCCATTACAGAGAGCCGAATGTTGATGCGTGTACTCACGCCGACTTGTTCCAGGAGCCCGATGAGGCGGGACGGCGGCACCACGCTGACCTCCCTCACTAAAGCCTCAGCGATTGCCCGGCGCCGCTTCTCTTTGCTGCTGCCTTTCGGGTACGCCTGCAGTCCAGAAGAAACCCCCTCAGACACGACTGTTTGTTTTAACTCATCAGTGCTTTTGCTTTTGTTTCATTTACCTCACGAGCGTCAAAGTATGAGCACGTCAGTAAACTGTCCAGGTGGGTGTACCTCTCCGGCTGGGTCTGCTTCAGCATAATCATCGGGTCGGTTTGTCTGAGGAGAGAACGGGCGGCTCCCACCTCCCTCATCTCTATCAGCTCCATCACAACCTGTTGAGCAGACCCAAGGCAGGGATCGTGAAACTGGGCCGGGGGGAGGCGCCTGCTGGACAAACTGAAGCTCACCTGCTCGTAGAGGTCAATGAGAGTGTTGTCGGGCAGCTTGAGGGACTCGATGGCCAACAGAACCGAGTCCCAGTGGCCTCTGTTCACGTCTTCGATGAAGCTTTCGATGCTTTCCACGGTGTGGAGCGTGACGGTGGTTTCCTCCTGTAAGGTGCTCAGCGTGCGGTACAGGTTGTTCTCCTTCAAGTACTGCATTATGAGGCGGAGCACGCTGCAGAGACACAGGTACGGTGCACGGTTAGGCTAATCAGGCTCTTCACACGCCGCTGGATCTGTCCCATCAGTGCAGATGATTCATCCCTCATCAAGTTTGATACTTGCCTTTTGGTTTTTGTAGTAAAACAATGCATTTAATGGTTTTGCAGTTTTTACTCACAAATGACAAACTTTGGCAGAATATACATGCCTTGTCCTCATGTTTATATGAGCATAAACTAAGTACCTGCCATTTTGCATGAACTAAAATCACTCAGACTTTATCTCAGTGTGTGTAAAACTCGTAGAGTTACATCATCTTGTGTTTGGTTCATTGTAGTTGACTAAACGTTAATCAGGCTCAGAAACAGTTTCTTCCCTGCAGCTGTCAGGCCGTTGAATTTGAGCTGCACTTAATTCAGCTTCATCTTACATTTTTTTTACTTTATTTATTATATATATACATATTTTGTATTTATTCTTTTGTTAATTGTTAGGCTTCTTGATCTGGGACCTGAGTCTGAATTTTGTGCCACAAACACGCAAACGTGAGCTGGTCCAACAATAAAAAAATCCTTGAATCCTTAATCAGTTGTAGATGTAGAGAGTTTCATTCAAATCTCTCCAATTTGTAAAACATTTTGCTAACAGACAGGCAAACACAGCTCAAACAGGCAATTAGATGATCGCCCGCCGCCCTTAAAGGCAGCAGAGATGTTTGACTGTTGTCCCTTGGGTTTAAAACATCCTGGTCTTTCCTCCATCTGTACCGCTCCTGTCACCTTCCATCCTTGACTGCCTTCCTGCACCAATTTATTTATTAAAAACATCTATCTCATCACATAATGTGATGATAAATCTTTGAACAAACTAGTTTTCCTCTGAACAGGATATATTTAGAGCTTGTGTTCAGTTTTTATGGCCTGTAGGCCTCATTGATCTGAACTCACATCCTTTGATAACAAAAAACAAAACATGTTATGGATTATTTTGACTACATCAATAAAAATGTTACAGTTCATCACAAATACCTATTTGTTGTTTGTTATTTGCTGTCTACCATGGCGCGCTAAGATTCATTACTGGTTGTAACTACCATACCCATCACTGCACTCTGTACTCACTGGTCAGTAGGTCATCATTATCTACATGTAGACTCTCACACTGGTTCATCCTCATCTATAAATCACTCCTTGGTCTGCTACATTCTTATATCTCCTCCCACTTGTCTCATCATCAGTGCAGTTACAACATGCGCTATCAGGACATCATTACCTGCAGCGTTCCCTCAGTGCGGACTGAACTTGGCAAAAGGCCTTTTCCTACTCTGCTCCTGCACCTGGAACACCTTGCAACAGGAAATGAAGCAGTCCACCTTAATTTCTTTAGAGGGTTTAAACATTTGATACTGCCAATAGAAAAATAAAAGCAAATATGTTCTTGTTTTTGGTATTTTACCTTGTTTTATGGCAACTTGATTTGTTTTATAATACTACATTTATTGAAACTGCATTTTTACTGAAATATATTGTTATTGTTGTCTGTACTTTATATGTTCTGTCTGGAACTGGTCTCTCCTGTACATGAGTCCTCGTGGCTCAATGAGACTATTCTGCATAAATAAAGGTTGAATGAATAGAGTCCTTGAGGGTTCATGGGAGTTTGCCCATCCAGTCTACATTTGTTTTGTTGACTTGGAGAAGGCGTTCGATCGCGTTCCTTGAGGTACACTGTGGGGGTGGGGGGTGCTCTGTGAGTATGGGATTGGGGGCTTGTTGCTACAGGCTGTTCGGTCCCTATACAAGCAGTGCGAGAATTTGGTGTGCATTGCCGATCGTAAGTCAGACCCCTTCAGGGTGGGAGTCGGACTCCACCAGGGCTGTCCGTTGTCACCGATTCTGTTCATAACTTTTATGGACAGAATTTCTCGGTGCAGCCAGCAGGCAGAGGAATTCCTGTTCCACGGCCTCAGGATTATCTATCTGCTCTTTGCAGATGATGTGATTCTGTTGACATCATTGTGCCGTGATCTTCAGCTCTCACTGGAGCGGTTCACAGCCGAGTGTGAAGCAGCTGGGATGAGAATCAGCACCTCCAAATCTGAGGCCATGGTCCTCAGTTGGAAAAGGGTGGATTGCTCTCTTCAGGTCGAGGGTGAGGTTCTGCCTCAAGTGGAGGAGTTCAAGTATTTCTGGGGTTTGTTTACGAGTGAGGGAAGAATGAAGCGTGAGATTGACAGACGGATTGGTGCAGTGTCTGCAGTATTGCGACTCTGTGCTGGTCTGCTGTGGTGAAGAGAGAGCTGAGCTGTAAGGCGAAGCTCTCTGTTTACCGGTCAGTCTACGTTCCTACCCTCACCTATGGTCACGAACTCTGGGTAATGAACAAAAGAATGAGATCGCAAATACAGGTGGTTGAAATGAATTTCCTCTGCAGAGTTTCTGGACTCTCCCTTAGAAATACGGTGAGAAGTTCAGTTCTCCAGGAGAGACTCAGGGTAGAGCTGCTGCTCCTCCACATCCAGTGTTGAGGTGGTTTGGGCATCAGGACATTCTGGACATGTTCAACTAGGAGGAGACCTCGGGAAAGACCCAAGTCAGCTGAGAGACTCTCAACTGGTCTGAGAATGCCTTGGAGTCCTCCCAGAAGAGCAGGAAGAGGTGGCTGTGTAGAGAGATCTGACCTCCCTGATCAACCTGTGCTCCCCGAGACCTGAGTCCAGAACAAGAGGAAGGTGATGGATGGATCTAAATTAAATGAGAATAAATTAAATTTGTCCAAATAATCTGTTAGAAAGTTATTAAATCTCATGTAGCCTAAATAGGAACACTGGAAATGTTTATTTTAGGGGAGTTTGGGTCAGAGGTGGAGCCACCATCACACAGGTGGATGAAATATAAGCTGCTGACTGAAAAACAGCCCCCTCCAAGATTCATGAACATCATTAACTGGCTCAGTGCAACCACTTACCAACATTTACTATAACTGACCACTACAGCCTGCTTTAGTAACAAAAGCTTTGAAAGTTGAGTCGGATGAAACAAACAATAACAACAACCTCAAGCTGTGCCCAATGACAACCGAGTCAAACACTTGTTTCACATCCATTACATTTAAACACATTTTTGTGCCTATAACTTCTAAATGACTTTACAGTTCAATTCTGCCTGCAGGAAGTTGCTGAAACCATCGGATGGACACATCCAGACACCCCCCACCACCACCACCATCCGAATAAAAATGATGAATCGGATGAAGAAGTGCACACTTACTCTGCAGGCTCCAGCTCCACAGCCATGATGATGGGATGTTGTCTCCTGCTGGAATCTGCTGCCGCACCGCACTGAGGAGGATGATGAAGATGATGATGATGAGGAGGATGACGGTGTGGAGGCTTGGCTACATGGCCACGTGAAATGTGCGAGCCAGAGACCACCCATCACACGTGCCTTTTCTTGCATCTCACATACCCCCACCCCCAAACCCCTGTGACTGCCTCTGGAGTGTCAGAGCTGCTCCTCCTCCTCCTTGACGCAGGCCTCCTTCCAAATGAAGGGTGCATCTGAGCGAAGTGTGTGTGAGAGAGGCGGGATGCTGCAGCTGCAGTATCAGCACCACCGGCAGAACCCCGTGATCCGGAGCATGCCCCCCCCCCATAGGAGAACCATCATCATGGCCTCCTGACTTACCTCCCACCCCCCTTGTCTGCTCCCCAACACACAGGGGAAGGGCTGGAGTCTGGTCTGTCAGCTCCTTTACTGTGAGCTAGAGGTTGTTGTTGTTTTGTTGTTGTTGTTTTTGTAACATCCATCGCCTAGAGTCTTTGATTTCTGACCTCCTGGAGGACACAGCTACAATGGACCACGTGGAGTATGTAATTTGTTTGCATTAATTTCACGTTTTTTGTGTTTATTGTTCATTCAACCTTTTTTTAATAAAGGTTAGTCTCATTGAGCCTCGGGACTCATTTACAAGAGAGACCTGATTTCTTTTACAAAGAGTGATGACAACAATAGACAATCATAAAAGAAAGCATATACATTGAGAAGAACAAATAAAAGAAAATGGTATTTTTAAAAAACCCAGCTATGTTGTAAAGTGATGTAGAAAACTAAAAACAGGAACATGTCGGCTTTGGTTTTTACCATGAACTTAGCAGATGTTTGAAGCCACTTAGAGAGGTCAAGGTCGAGAGCTTCAGATCTTTTTACAAGATATTCCAGGAAACAGGAGCGGAGTAGGAGAAGGACCTTTAGCCTAGTTCAGTCCTCACTGAGGGAACACTGCAGGTAATAATGTCCTGAGAGCGCACGCTGTAGCTGCACTCATGCAGAGACATGTAGGAGGAGATGTATGAAGGCAGCAGACCAAGAAGTGATTTAAAGATGAAAATGTACCAGTGAGAGAGTCTGCATGAAGTTAATGACCAGTTAACCAGTGAATACTGGGTGCAGTGGTGGGTACGATAGTTACAGCCAGTTATGAATCTTAGCGCACCGTGATCTGCAGGGTGCTTGTAGGAGCGTTCATGTAAATAATGTCACCGTAATCAATGGAGGGAAGGAAGGTCACAGTTACAAGGTGTTTCCTAGTGTTCATAGTTAGACAGGATCTGTTTCTGAAAAAGTAACCCAGTTTAACTTTGCAGTTTCCTTACAAAGTTTTCCACATGGAGCTTGAGGCTGATTTGCTGTTCAGGTTGTGTTTTATTAACTGTAACTGTAAAAATCAAGCTGGTCTGTAGAAAACCAGCTGAAATCTTCTAACGTTCCAATATTTTACCAGAATAAAAAGTTCCAAAGAAGTTGGTATTTACAGCTGTACTTGAAAGAAGCAAAACCCATAAAAAAAAATTTATTTACTCAAGCGCTCCCTGAGATTATCAGCTTTTTTTTTTCCTTTTGACACCAGAAGTTGTTAAAAAGAAAATGGTTTTCAGTAGGACAAAAAAAATATTTTTCTTATTTCATGAATAAAAGCAAAATCTATAGATGTGTTTATTATACGGCTGTATTTTATTTTCATATAACAGGCCTTTTGCAAATGAGATGATTGTTTCAATGAGACTATCCTGTATTTTTAAAAAAGGAAACAAAAAGTCTCTTTTAGAGAAAACATTTAATGTATTTCTGTCCCATTTATAAGTAACTTGGGAAATGGGAAGTCTGCCACTGAAAATTAAATTACATGCAATTTGGGACTTCAAAATAAAAAATATGAAAAAGTCAGCAAAGAAAATAGAAATAACTTTTAGAAATGATTTTTTTTTAAGTGATTTTGATTTTACTGTCATTCCACTAAAAACTATTATTAATTTATTCTTCAACTAATAACACAATCTCTAGAGAAAAATAAAATTTTGGTCGAAAATAAAAAATTTAAAAAGCTTTCAGTTTGATTCTTTAAATTTCGTTTTATAGCCGGAGTGAGACATCTGTCTAATACACGATCTTTGCCGCGCATTTCTCTTCCTGCTTGTTACCATGGCAACACCTCACAACACTGCTGTGCTCGGAAACGCTGCTTTAAATCCTGCTTTAAAGTTTAAAACTAGTTGGTTTCTTTGAATTTATCGGGCTCAAAATGAGTCAGAAGCAGCTGGTTCAAGGTGAGGAGACGCCCGCAGGTAAACTTTACACAGACTCACCTGCTGACGGCCCGTTTCTCTGTTGGTTCTAATCTCTGTAGTTTTCGAGCAGTACCAGAAATCCAGACTCCACTTTGTCCAAACGGTCGCTGATCTCGCAACCAGGCCACAAAATGTAGAACTCCTCCAGAATGCAGGTAAGAAGAAACGGTGGTGTCCCGTGCTGGTGTCAGGGTCCACTTCACCTGTCCTGTCCTGTCCTTTGGTGCAGGTGTGATGCCCCTGCTGCGTCCCCTGGTGCTGGACGTGGTGCCCAGCATCCAGCAGACTGCAGCTCTGGCTCTGGGCCGGCTGGCGGACCACAGCAACAGCCTGGCCGAGGCCGTGGTGGCGGAGAACATCCTTCCCCAGCTGGTCCATTCTTTGACCTCACAGAACGTGAGCTCCTTACCTCCTGACAGATTGTCTTTGCATGATGTCATCATGTGTGAAAGAACAACCAGATTTTTTATGAAGAACATTAAGAAACTCAGTTCCATGTGTTTTAGTTGGTTTAGTTGGAAAGGGACTGGTTCATCAACATGTGTGTGTTTCTGTGCAGAGATTCTACAAGAAGGCAGCAGCGTTCGTGCTGCGCGCCGTGGCCAAACACTCCCCTGAGCTGTCCCAGGAGGTGGTGGGCTGCGGGGGCGTGGACGCTCTGGTCCTCTGCCTGGAGGAGTTTGACCCCGGGGTGAAGGAGGCCGCCGCCTGGGCTCTGGGCTGCGTCGCCCGACACGATGCCTGTAAGGACACACAGGCCTGCGGTTCCTCCTGTGGGCCTGACTCTATTGGACACGTGGTTTTGAACCTGCGAGCCTCCTTTATCTTTGTGCTCTGTTGCACCGTGCAGCTCTGGCTCAGGCTGTGCTGGATGCAGGAGCTGGCCCCCTGCTGGTGTTGTGTCTTCAGGAGCCTGAGGTGGCCCTCAAACGCATCGCCGCCTCTACGCTCAGTGACATCTGCAAACACACGCCAGAACTGGCCCAAACCGTGGTGGAGGCCGGCGCCATCGCTCACCTGGCACTTATGATGCTGAGCCGAGACGCCAAACTCAAGGTGAGACTCAGGAAGTGCACGTTCACTCATACATCAAGGTTCAAGGTTCTTTATTGTCATTCACATCACATGTGGTACATGAGGTGGAACAAAATTGTGTACTCAAGGTCCCAGTTACATCCAAAAATAGCAAAAATATAAAAAAGAAACAACATACAAGGATCTAAGATATACACTAAACAATAATAATATAATATAATATGATTTATTAAACAGCAGCCTGAACATGAGTCTGTTGTGAGCAGAAAGGTATGAATATAGCAACTTAAAGGCAAGAGATCAGCAGCATGGGTAATCAGCAGCACAGATAAAGTGGCATATCATCAATTAAAGTGTCATCACAGTGATTATCCTGGTTAAGGATTTATATGTCTAACAGATTCAGGGTAGAAGCTGTTGTGGTTTTACACTTAATGCCAATGTCTGACAAAATGTTTTGTTTTTAAGTAAAACATGTCAAAGACGATGAGCTTTTTAAAATCCCAACTCATATAAAAGTCACGTTTCTGTCATCGGTGGGAAAACCTGAAAAACGGTCAAAGCATCGAGACTGAAAATGCAATTTCATATAAATTTTAAGACCTAGCGTTCCCTGAAGTCCGATCTGTTAGTGCTTGGAGTATGTGAGGAGGACAACTCTCAGCTACTACCACGGCAAAGTTTAGCTCAGTAACTGAGAAAGTGACTATTATCTTTTCTGAAGTCAACTGGCTGTGGCAGCCATCTTGAATAGAGCTAACTCCAAAAGGTAAATGGTTGAAGATGCATATCCAATTATTATGTTTTTAGAATATCATTAAAATCTGTCAAGTGGTTCATGAGACATTTTGCTAACAGACAAACACGCACCCAGAATCACCCACATCCTAAATGAGACACTTTTAGTCTTATTCTTAATGTTAGCAGCTACTGGAACAGGATTTGTGTAACTTTAGACGGTGGTTTGATTAACCCTGCAGCTTTAGGTCCATTTAGCTGTTTGTCCCCACGCAGAGGCAGCTGTTCTCGGCCCTCAGCCAGATCAGCAAACACTCGGTGGGCCTGGCGGAGATGGTGGTCGAGGCGGAGGTCTTCCCCGCGGCCCTCGCCTCCCTCAGAGATCCGGACGAGTACGTCAGGAAAAATGTCGCCACCTTGATGAGGGAGGTGGCGAAACAAACGCCGGAGGTACTTCAGTCTCACAAGTCTCCTTTTTAACGTGCACGAAGACTCGGTGAGTGAAGCGCCTGTGTTCCTGCAGCTGGCCCAGCTCATCGTGAACTGCGGTGGGCTCGCGGCGGGGGTCGACTACCTGGGCAGTTGCCGTGGAAACCTGCGGCTGCCGGGGATCATGATGCTGGGATATGTGGCAGCTCACAGTGAAAGCCTGGCCAAGGCTGTCATTCTCTCTAAGGTGGTAATACTGGTCCTTTAAAACCAGAGGTGCCCCCCACCCCCACATGCTTCAGGTGAAACTAACAGATCTGTCCACGCAGGGCGTCCCCCAGCTGGCCTTGTGTCTGTCTGAGGAGTCTGAGCAGCACATCAAGGCTGCCGCCGTCTGGTCCATCGGTCAGATCGGTCAGCACTCCTCTGAGCACGCCAAGGCGGTGGCCACGTCCAACCTGCTGCCCAAACTGCTGGAGCTCTACACGGACGCCAGCAGCTCGGAGGACCTGCAGGCCAAAGTAAGACGGGAGTCAGTGTACCGGTGTTTGTCTCATCAGGAGGAAGTGAACCGATCCGTTCATGCGCTCACATTGAGAGTGTGCTGCGTTTCAGAGTAAGAAGGCCCTGAAGAACATCCTGCAGAAGTGCACCTTCCTGCAGGCTCTGGAGCCGCTCCTCTACGACGCTCCCAGCAGCATCCTCAAACACGTCGTCTGCCAGTTCAGCAAGGTCAGGAGCCGAGCGAGACGTCTGCCGCTCTCGCCTTGAGCAAAGCCTTTGTTAAACCCTGTCCTGGCTTGAACAGGTGCTGCCTCACGACAGCAAGGCCCGGCGTCTGTTCGTGACCAGCGGAGGCCTGAAGAAAGTGCAGGAGATCGAAGCTGAGCCTGGATCAGCTCTGCAGGAGTCCATCAACACGATCAACAGCTGCTTCCCCGAAGAGATCGTCAGGTGAAGCTTTGCCTCCTCGTTCATCCCAAATTCTCTGGCATCCAAACCTTTCTGCTTAGAGTCACTTCTTGAATGAAGGGCACTGATGTTTTCAACCACCGTCAGCTAAGTGTCAGGTATTTACAGGTGTGTGTGTGTGTTTCAGGTACTACTCCCCTGGTTACTCTGAGGTGCTGCTGCAGCGGTTAGACAGCTACCAGCCAGCATGACGTCACTTCAGAATACACTTCCTGCTTCAGTCTGAACATAAACACACACACTGTGTCCTGACAGTCTGAGTGGACTTCTTTGTTTTGTACATTTGAATTGAATTTTGTTCTGACTGTGCCATATCCATCCATCTATTCATCCATCCATCCATCTATTCATCCATCCATCCATCCATCCATCTATTCATCCATCCATCCATCTATTCATCCATCCATCCATCCATCCATCTATTCATCCATACCCACTTCTTCATTTTCGGGTTGTCGGGGTCATTGGTGCCCATATCCAGCAGTCACAGTGTGAGAGGCAGGGGACACCCTGGACAGGTCTCCAGTCCATCACAGGGACACATAGAGACAAACGAGACAAACAACCATTCACTCTCTCACTCACACCTAGGGACAATTAAGAGTTACCAATCAGTCTAACATGCATGTTTTTGGTCTGTGGGAGGAAACTGGAGTACCTGGAGGAAACCCACACATGCACAGAAAGAACATGCAAACTCCACCCAGAAAGGCCCCCGGACCGGGATTTGAACCAGGGACCTGCGCGCTGAGAGGCAGCAGCTCTACCAGTTGCACCACCGTGCTGCCCGTGTCATATTCAATTATAGACAAACATTATTTATTTGTTAACATACTTCCTACTGTAGCAAACTGTCTCAGTGTAAAAATAAAGGCCTAGCGTCCCTTAAAGAAAAGCATGCCGCCCGCTGCCTCTCTGAGTTTTAGATCATTGTTTGTTGAGAAACGATGGAGCTGCAGCCATTTTGATCGAGCCTTGGCAATAATGTGACAAACTTATTGTGACTGACTCTGATCTGAATTTTGCTCAATATCTGTTTAAGCCATTTTTCTTGAATCAAGATGGCTCCAAAAGACAATGAGTTGGACTTGCATTCAAATGTATCCAGGACTTCATGAGGTAACACACACACGGTCAAAAAGCCCTCACCTTTTGGCGTCCCTCTAGTCTCTTCTGGTCCAGTCCAGGCTTGCTGGACTCATGGGCCCCGACCAGCAGACCATCAGCTCCAGCTGGGCCGGGAACTGTAGACATGATGATAGAGGACACAAAGACAAAAAGACAAGCCATGAGTGTTCGAGGTGGGGGAGGATCAAGACGGCTAAAGAAATAAAAAGTCAAGTCAAACGTTTAGGGTTGACAATGAGACGAGTTTCAAAAGGCGTGAGACATAGATTTATGGACAAGTAAAAACAGCATGTTTCAAAATGTAAAACAAACAAAGATGGTGAAAGGTTGAAGTGAACATCATGCATGAATCAGCCCTGAAGTTTAATTCTTACACGTTGGGTCAAAGTTCACGTCAGCCCCAATTGAGATAAATCATTATGATGGAATTTTAGGCTCTACAACATTGTTCCAATTATTTAATCCAGTCCTATTCTTGATTCTGATTTATTTACATTGTAGTACCTTTACTGGCATGACGTTACCACAAAGACAGGACACAACCTGATATTATGGCTGAAGGGATCGAGGCCTCACCAAAGCAATAACCGAGTCAATTTATTGATTTTACTACATTCTGCTAAACATCTTAATAGGGGTGACACTTCTTTATGGGTGATTGTACATCATGCTCATTTTATCCTTACCTCCACGATTAAATAAACAATAGTGAACGTCAGTTTCAGCAGCGAGATCTGTCCCTCGGGGATGTTGATGGATAAGTATTTTCCACATGTCGTGCTGTGATGGCTGAGGAGTTAAGGCGTTGGACACAAAATCCAATGGAGGTTCCTGTGCAGGTGCAAATTCTGCTCACAGTTCTGTTCTCCTCAGATCAGGATCAATTAATGACAATATAGCAGGAGTCACACAGGGACCAGATTCTGCAGGTACCAGCCTCTCATATATTAGATAATAATAATCCTGGTGCCTAAGCTTCAAACATGATGTTAGGAGTTCAAGACAAAACACTAATTCTCCCAGTAATCAAACATGTGTTTTAGCCTCAGTATGCAGCGTTTGTTGTAAATTAGCACGAAAGAAGCGTTTTGTGTGATGCACAGAGGATGGAAGCAGCGGGCGGTTTTGTTTTATTAACTTTAGAAAGGTATGTTTCCTTTACCTGGAAGATCTGTGACTTTTATTCAAATGAAAGTTCATGTGCTCACACCAGGCAGCATTTGCTAATAAGAATCCTTATTTTAGTTTAAACTGAAAAGTTTTGCTTGCGATTTTTGCCAGTGACGGACAAATACAATGTTCAGATTTAGGTAAATTCTGCATTAAAATGTGTTTTTGGACTGGTGAAGTCTCAGGGGAACTTACGTTGGTAAATTACATGAAAAACAGATGAAATTACTATTTTTGATCATTTCTGGGTTGTTGTAAAGTGGGAATTTTGACTAAATGAACTTAAAACATGGCAAACATTAAGACCGTTATATTGGGGTCATCTGAGTGCACCAGGTAAGAAATATGAGTTTTGGCTCCTCCCCCAGCATTAACAGCAGGTGAGCTCTAATTAACGACAGGAGGATGCTATTTGAGCAGATTCTCCTCCATCTACCGACTTTCTGAACATTGAGTTTTTATTTTCCTTGAACTTTTTCCCCAAACAGGTAATGGGTTCAAAAGAAATTTGAATTGTACTTGTTTTGCTCGTTTCTTGTGGTAAAATCTGAAAAATGCCCCTCAACAACAACAACCAGGTGAGGAAAAAAGAAACTACTTATTAGCCTTTCCTGAAGTTTTCCTGTAAAACTCTCCAGCAACTGTGCAAACCTCTTTTTTTATTTTATTTTGGCCTTTTTTTTAATATATATTTTCAGAAAGTACCAAGTGCAGTTGACAGGGTAGCCAAGCTGCCTGTGGTTCGTTCAGCTTGTTGGACCTTATCAGTCCTGTATAAAGACACTAAATGCAGCAATCCCAGCCTGAAGGCCCTGTGTGAAGGCCTGGAGACCAGAATGAGCTCTCTGACCACCACAGCCTTCTCCAGAGTCTCACCTGTCCTTGTTAAACTGGAGCCTCAGAGTGAGTACTGGGTCATGATAATGGTTGAGGATATGCTCCCTCCCTGCAGAACTTGACACCAGTTTGGTGGTAAAGCTCAGATACAGTTCCCATGTTAAAACTTTCAGAATCCAAACCTGAAATCATTAGATGGGTTGGATTTAAAGTTGTGCTTGTATTTTACGATTTTCAATGCGCTCGTGTGTTTTCAGTTTCTGTTGCAAATAATGTTGCATGCAAAGGTCTGGACTGGCTGGAGACCTCGTTCCCTGTGCTGCAGTCACCCACAGATGAGGTATCGTATCCTTGGAGGTGTAACACTTCATCTGTTTGAATGAAAATAAAAAAATAAACCACAGACATGACTGATTCACAGGTTGTTGCTGCTGCCAAGAACAAGCTCGGTGAGATCCAGGGTGTGGTGAGTGGTGCAGCCAACGGAGCTGTCGACTGCGTCCAGCACACCGTCACCTGGGTGATGAGCAGGATCCCCCAGGCTGACGGCAATGGAGCCAAACCGTCTCTGGTGCAGAGAGCCATCAGTGTGACCGCTGTGGGACTGGACGCTGCCTTGACCCTGTCCGAGGCTCTGATGGATCGTGCGCTTCCTCCAACGGAAGAGGACAAAGGTACATGGCACATAATGAAGAACTTTTTTGTGACTTCTCCATCATGCTCGTCTTTGTCTGCAGAGAAAGCAGCCCACCTGGTGGAGGGATCAGAGGCTGCCGCTCGCAGTAGAAGTTACCCGGTGCGAATGATCCAACTCACTGCCAAGCTGTGTCGAAGGACCTGCCACACAGTTGGCTCAAAGATCCAGTCTGTTCAGGTGGGCTGAGTGCAGTTCAATAGTGGACAGAAGTGTCCCAAGTTGTTTAAGTCTTAGTATAATTTAGAAACCCTGACATCGCTGCCTTCCTACGTGCCATTAGAAAGTGCTGTTGTCGTAACATCTTGTCTCCACAGGTCTGGGAGAGTTTATCTAGGTCCACGGTTCTGGTTCAGGATCTTCCAAATAACTGTCGGACCCTGGTATGGAGCCTTCAAGGACTGCCTCAGTACTTGCAGCATCAGGGGGTTTCTGCACTTTTCTTCATCACCCAGATGTACAACTTGAGAAGTCCATCACAACCGGAACGGTTAAAAGGCAGAAACGAGCTCCAGATTTCCAACAAGGAGCAGGTCCGCCTGCAGAGCGCCCCTGCTTTGAGAACGAGGCCCAGCAGAACATCTGTGTTGGAGAACGGCTGCAACGTTAAGGAATGCGTTAAAAGAAACAGCCGCTGATGGATGCATGTTAAATGTTAGTGCGTTAAACTTGTGGTCTAAAATAAAAGTCAGATTCATCAACTTTCATGTAGGTTCTCAGTCACACAAGTAAAAGTAAAGCTGTGCCCCGCCCCCAAAAAGGTTAAAACTAAACTTTTGTCTCGCTCAAAACTTTATCAAATATCTGAGCGTGGTTTTGTTTTTAGACGGCTTCCTTTCCCCTCAAACCACGTCTTTGTCCAACATATGGACCTTGTCCTCTGTGTCCCTTATCCTTGAGGTGCAGTCTCTTGCTGCACTGACACCACTCGGTTTGAGTTTGTCCTTCAGTTGGACAAGTCTGTCCTGCTAGGTTTG